CTTCTGCGAACGTACTTGACCAAAAATGATTATTAAAAACGCGGAATGAATATCCTTTATTTTGTCTGTAAGTTAAGAGAACGAATAAATTATAAGAATAACAGGCCACAGTGAAGGAGAGCATAATGTATATATACAGTAATTATGTTTATTACGGAAAAAGGTATAAACACCGAATGATGTTAATTAATGAAAACTCACACATACATATATAATAAAAATACCTTTAACCTTTTACGTGAGGGTTTACATCGAAACAGCTTAATTGACAGATGTTACAACATAATGTTAAGGATTAAAATGCACTTTAATACGCATTTCGTAAAATACAATATCGATATAAACAACAAACAATGCAAGAATAAGATGATAAAAAAATAGGGTAATTATTAATCTAAATTAAACATCGTAACACGTTTATGCTAGTAAAAAAAAAAAAAAAAAATCTCTAGCATATATTTGCAGCATTCAATTATCCTTTTGAACAAATAAAAATGGTAACGATACGTGAAACATTTAAAATTATTCGTATTTTTTCTAAACAGAAAATAACTTGGCGCATAAGATATGCATTCTTAATAATACTCAATGGCGATAAATCGAAAGAACATATAGTAAAATGTATATGTATGATTTATAACACAAATAACACAAACACTTTTACGTACTGTACAGTACACAGTATGAACCTATCAATTTCAAATAATCCTTTTTAAAAAAATCAGGATTACTGTATGAAACAAAATTTGATCTTAACTAATTTTATTATTAATAGAATTTGTTGAACAAGTTATTTTATTTATTGATAATTATTAAGTATTATAAATATTTTAACTGCAGAACTGGTACATGTCAAATTCATAACGATATAATGGTTCATAAAAAATTAACATTGTTTGATCGTCTCACATAAAATTAAAAAAATGATATCATTTTATGAAGGAGATAACAAAAGGGCTTTGACAATAAGAGCTGTGCCTAATGTAATTGTTTCAATAGAGGAGTTGGGCTTAAAGACGATTTAAATGTTTACAGTACAAATATTGTTATTTATCAGTATATCTGTAGTTACGCCAGTTGACATTGTTGAGGAAACCATCGGAATGTAATTCTATTAACGTCAACTCATTAACGTTAATATTTTTAAACGCTAAAGCTGGTATTTATGTTCACGTGATTCGATATTTTATCTACGTATATACTATAAATATCAGATACGTACGTACGTACTTATGTAGCGGTAGGAATTTGGTTAACAGAATAAAATAACAACACGTGATACAGAATATAGAAATAGCAAGACCAAGATAGTGATTTCGCCTTCCATTGTTCTATAGTTACAGATAGTTACGGATAGTTATAGAAGGCAATTCTTTCATTGAAGTAATTGGACATAATTGTAAACAAAACTAGTTTTAAAAAAGCAAAGAAATAGAATCATAGCAAGATATTTGTTGATTGATTATCTAGAACCGGAGATCCGATAATGATAACTATTAAAGTTATAATGATGATGATAACGATAACAAGTGCAAAGACAGGATTGAAAAATTGAGAGGATTTTTTTTGCACACGTATGTACTACATATCAGATATATTCTAAACCTGTTTGTAATGAACTGTAAACATAATACTGTAATAATAATAATAATGATAAAATATGAAGTCTTGGATCTCGTGAGAAATAGATCTATTTTAAATGTATACTATGCAGTGAATAAAATTCGATGTGCGCATGTGCGCTCCGCACATATAAAATTTTTTGCGCACAAAAAAAATATAATACTGTGCGCAAAGCGCACGCAACTTTTCAATAATTATTTAAAATAATGTGCGCTATAATTTAGCCTTAATCTAAAATTTGGTGCGCAACGCGCACCAAATTTTGGCTTTGAATTTTATTCACTGATACTACGTATATAGTTTCTAATCTATACATGCTAACCCAAAAAGTATTTCTTTGTTAAAGGAACGAATGCAGAATATCAAAAGTCACGATGAATTAATGATATTATTTGTAATGATAGCAATAACAGCAAGAACGATAACGATAATGGATATAAAGATAACTGATAATGTGATCTTCTGCAAGTACGTAAATGCGTTATTATAATTAAATAAACGATCTTGAAGATCCAAAATTTGAACAGAAGGGACTCAATAAAAGATACAAAATGGGACTTTATGATATTCAAGAATTTTTTGTGTTGTAAACCTTAAGCGCGTGGAAATTTTTTAGCAGAATTAAATCGAGTTTGGAAATCAATAGGGCCAAGAAATTGCTAGAAAGACTATATATACATTTTTTAGGAATAGGCAGAAAATAATAATAACGTAGAAGAATGTGAATAAAAGAAATTCGGTTTAAAATAGTAAAAAGTGGGGAAGATTAAAAATGCCAATCATGTGACGACCAAGAGTATTAACCTTCAAGAAAAAGAAAACGATAAACGGTTTAATAAAACAAGTTACACGAATCCTTTGTACAAGAGAACGACATATTTAGCTAGCTTGAAAGGTTTAATCAAATCCGATTAACTGGAATGAACGGATGCGTTCATTTACGCACATCAAAATTATATGAGTGACGGATCATTCAAGCTTGTCATACAGATCAATGTATGATTACAACATAACGATAATATCAATCATTTAATTATTTCTTCTCACAAGTTTTTTTTCACACATAATTTCACGATGAAATATATTATATGATAATATATCATATGTATCTGGTATATCAATATATCAAATATACAAAATCGAAAATTTTATGAAATATCAAGCACATGATCGCGAGAAATCTGAGAAATCGTAAATATTACTATTATTTGTTTATATCATCTGATCATGCAAAAAGATAAGATTGAAAGATAAGAAATCAAGGGTACGGTTTCGTTATTAAAGGTAAATCCCATACATGCAATACAGTAATATAACAACATAGAAATACTGCAATACTACACACCTTAAGCATTCAAAGGATAGTTATTATATGATATGACTGACTAACAAAGGATTGGCGTGAAGATCGTGTGAGAAATGAAATAATTAGTTTTTGATAAACTGGAGGAATGATTAAGAAAGATTCGATATAGAAAAGGTTTTTTTTGACAATCTGATTGAATCTTTACTTAATTTAGTAAAACGGTAACAATGTTGGTTGCACAGCATCGTGACCCCAAAGATATAAAGTACGTACGTACGTACAAACAAACATTAAGATCAGTTCAAAAATTACTGAATTTATGCAGGTCTATATGTTCATGTATGCGTGATAAAGTACTATTATCATACAATAAAGGTTTATATATGAAACGATATACGAAGAGCCATATACGTACGTACGAGAGTGAAGAAATTTGCACGTAGAAAGTCTTACCTCTCTATCATCTTTCTACCAAAACTGTTATGTATGACATGTCGATAGATCCTGTTAATTTACATTGCTGATAAATGAAAACTGGTTGTTTCTTATTATTTCACAGAATGTTGATCAAATTTATGTGTAAGTGCAAGAATGGATACGTGCAAGAATATGTGCAAAAGTACAGTACGTACTGTACGTATGTACGTACTTGTTAAAGATACTTAACAATTAATCTTTACAAAAGTTAATGTTAATAATATAATAATAATGTACATACTGTATCTGTTAATATATACAGCATATTGTAAATACTGTATCTAGTAATCGCTATGCCCCCCGGAAGGTTACATATAGAAATTGTTACATTGACCAATAAGAAATGAAGCTTTCAATTGAATTTAAATAAACAATATAAAGGATTGTAAGTGAAGTGTTCCAATCAAATCTGTATATGGCAAAAGATGCGTTAGACAAGTATAAGAACGGTAATATGTTAACTGTTATCGCAAATAAAAAAAAATACGTATTTTTTTTTTACTGATTTGCAATATTTATAGTACTGTATAAGTATTTACTATATTTACTTTATTTATTACTATATTGTATTACTGTATTTTATTACTATATTGTATTACTGTATTTTATTATTAACTGTACTTATTAACCGTATTTATTGTATTTATTGTATTTATAGTATATAGTATAGTGTAAATAAAAAAAAAAAACTACTGTATATTCTTAATATAATATTTTAGTATACAGTAATGTACTGTATTCATGAATTAATGCTTATTCAGCCCCTGGTATTTTATGTTGTTTATAATAATCATAACACATCAAAGTTACTATTTCTACTACTGTTACTATGAGTTCAAAATAATACAAAAATGCGTTAAAAATTTGTCTAAAGCCCTTCATAAGATTCTCTTTTGGATTACAGAGAGAGGTGACTTCGTCGCTCATATAAAGGATTCGGTTTTTTCATTCTGCATTTATTCCAATTCTATTCTTACCTAAAAATAAAAAAAAAAAAAAAAAAGCCGCCGTTTCCTAATGTGTTATCTGCATTCCATATATCGTTGCTAATTTATACTATAAACTTTTATAGTTTAGTACCTCGATAATCTTACTTATGATAAACACATTCACCCTTCACCTTTAAAAAGCCTATTAAACTGGTTTCATTTTCCAATCTTTCTTTTTTTTTTTTTTTTTTTTAACGAAAGTCGTCGTTTATTTTTTTTTTGTTTTTAATGTTTAAACCAATTCTATAAAAGAAAATAAAGACGACTCACTCTTTTTTTTTTTCCCTAAAAAAAAAAGAACCTTGAAAAATTTTTTGCCCTTTTTTTCTTTTTTTATGCAATATATATTTTCGACCATGGAGTTCAGGCCTTTGTGTTATTAAATACGTCAAGAAAAATAATACTAATCATCTTAATAAATTTTATAATTACAAACCTTTTTCGTTGAGCGAAATAAGTATAAGAAAAAAAAACTCAATCGATAAATATCTCGTGACACAAACATCCACACTCTTTCTGTTTTGTCAGCACGCAGAAGAATATCCAAGACTATCTCTACTTTATTCCACCTTTTTTTTTATCGGATATTCTGTATGTTTTCATCTATGCCTCTTCCGCTCCCTGATACTGGTTCACTTTCTTTGTTCAAGGGTCCTTCATCAATGACTTCTCGAATAAATAATGATCTCTTAGGTGTACCGTCGTCCGGCTTTGATGAGTATAATTTAAAAGGCACTAAAAGAATGGATGTATCTACTGCACCTCCCAGTCCTGTCAACTGTTCTATTTCTATCGAACGAAGAGTTAATTCTGCTGATATTTTGCGTGTACGGCGAAATAGTGATAAAAGTTCATTATTAAACAACAAAAAGCAGTCTGATTGGTGGAAATCATTCTTATCTCGTATTCAACAATTCCCTTTTTTGAAACGGAACGATCAAAAAATTTCAAAAGATGTATCTACTAGTGAAATTGATTTATCTGCAACTTCAAGATCAAGTTCAAGTGTTGACGTTCGAGCTATTAGTTGTGATAATACTGTCGTTGATCATGATAAGGATATGAATGCAACTACTTTAGATAATAACAATATTAATAATTCTAGTGTTGACTCTGATGTTACATTAAAAGGTTCTTCTGCGTCTTTATTTGACGTCTGTGCTCAAACACCTCGACATTTCTCTAAGGAACCTGAAGTATTAGGTAAAGTCGGTCGATTTACTATAGTTAGAGAAAGAGAAGATTTTAGTACTACTATGTTTGATCAATGTCATTGTCAAGAAAAGCCCTGTCGCTTCTCTACGAAAGGTGGAGTTCATCCTGTAATGCCACCAGAAACTTTACCAGATTTAATACCTCTTTCTTCTCAATTTTGCACTGTTAACGAGTCCAGTCCACCGATAAGAATTCCTATTCATAAAGATTCTATGAATTTAGCTTCTTATAAACTTTCTTGTCAACAATATGGTGCTCAAATAAGACAAAATTCTTGGGAATCGATTGCTCCTTATCGTCCAGGAGTCTCTCAAAGTTCTTCTATATATACACAAAATTCTTTATATACACAACAATCGTCAGCTGCAACTTCTAGAACTTCTTTATCTTCATTGAAATATTCTACTGATTTATCAAATGTAAATTTGACGAATAATAAGATCTCCACCTCTTATTCATCTGATTTGGCTCTCACACGTAGTCGATCAAAGAATATTGTCAACAAACCTATAAAGCCACCATCACCTGTAGCTAATGGTCCCGTTAGATCAAAGAGATCATCATCAAGTAATATTAAAGTATCGGATAATAATTTGTTACAAGAACTTTTGAATGATCGACGACAACAATTATTACCTACTACTACTACATCAAAGTTTGAAACTAATGAACCTCATACTACAATTAGTTCTCATACCGGTAGAAAATTCGAAGTATGGAGTTCTTCGTCCTCTGAACCTGCATCTTCACCTTCATCTACCATGAGTAGTAGTATACTTAGCATGTCCTCGAGTCCTAATAATAGTTTATACTCATTACAAGGTACATCAACCCGATGTAGTACATTGAGCAGTAAACATGGTCGTAAATTTGAAGTTACCATTATTTCATCTGGTAACACTGAAAAGTCAAATAATGCTGGCAATTAAATTGATGGCAATTAGATTGATAGCAAATAGCTTGATAAAAAAAATTTTTTTTTTTTTTTTTTTAATTACAAGAAAAAAGGAAAATCACACTATAATGTTGATTGACTAGTCTAAGGGTTATTATCTTGGCTACCTGATGTGCATAATAGCAGATCATTTGAGACTTTTAGTTATCAACATAATAATGAAATGTAGTAAATTTTTCATGGATGATGACCTCTTCACATCAACAAGTATAAAAATTATTTTTCAATAATAGATTGGTTCATTTTCATAATCAAAAAAAAAAAAAAACTTAAAAAAAAAAAACTTAAAAAAAAAAAAAAAACAAAAAAAAAAACCCCCATGTAAATACTACTACTATTATTAAAAAAATTTCGGTTCAATAGAAATGATTGATAGATCATTTGGTTGATTTTCGAATCATTCTGAATGCATTTCAGTCATAATTCAATTTTGTATATATTACACATTTACATGTTCTTATGAGAGTATAATTCATTTTACAATATAAAATTATTTTTGAAATTGAATATATTTATTATTGATAATGATCCTCTCATTTTCAACATGTATTTTTTTTTTTTTTTTTGCTGAAGATGATTGAGGATCTATTTTTCAAGTGTAAATTAAAGATATACGTATAATAATAAAAAAATATGCTGATTCACCTGAAAAAAAATATCTTGTAAAAGTACAATATCTTGTAAAAATCATGTTTAATGTTTCACTTTGGACAATTCCGCAGGTAAATTTTTAACATTTCGAACATAATCATTATCTGTTATAGGAAATATCCAATCATATTATAAAACTACTCGTGTACTAATTATTACAAATAAAGCAAAACATTTCGTTATGGTTCCTTAATTGTTTAGTATTGGAAACAATATAAAGCTCAATTCGGCATAGAATATCTTTATTATTTTTGTCCGTTGTTCTCTGATCCAGTTCCCTGACCATTCTTTCATTATGTCATTAAAAATGCGAAAAGAGATTAGCATTTTATGTTAAAGGTTATTGCTTATTTAGGAATTCAAAAGATTTCAGACATTTTTGTCTTATTGTGCATACATACACATACACTTCTCGAAAGTTTACCTATTAAAAGACATTTTCTATGGCTTTTTGTATGTAAGTAAGTGGTAATACGTACGTACGTACTGTACGTACTATACGTATCGGTGTGTAAATCACTGGATCGGGATCCACCAACCCGAATTCTAATACGATAAAGATCTTTTCATAGGATTATTAACGTTAAAATTTCGTTATTGCCGCTATCTATATTTTTAACGTTAAAATTTTTTATCTTTTAAAATTTCTTTATTTTCAAAAATAGTAAAAATAGAAATTTATATGTATAGTTTATTAAACTTGATTTGGAATTTCATACAGCAGTACAGTATTGCAAGTTGTTAAAAAAAAATATATATCATCAATTACTAATAATGATTTAGCTGATAATATCGATATTCCGTAACACTATTTTTCACCGCATTATCATATTTCATCATGCAGTAACAGCAGCAATTCGAGTATCTTGTCCAAGAATTTTACTAAACAACGTTATAGGGCAACGAATAAAACTAATGTCAACCTTCATTATATGCAAATCACATTGATAATATGCTTTATTAACTTATGATTGTATGATACTTATACATACAAGGTATAAAGTTTCGTTTTGAGAAACCTACCGGAGAATATCATGCATATATTCTCGTTATTAACGTACAGTACATACCTTTGTACGTAATAGATTACCACAAATCCTTCAAGGGTAAGGGCGTATTCATACTTATACATATCTGATATATACATATGTACGTAAAATGTATTACATGTATTAAATAAAGCACTTTAACAGGTTCTTTTCGATATATATATATATATTATTTTTTTTAGCTGATATCACGCATGTTTCATGAGAATACCGTGACTAAGGACTAAGGATAGATATTTTGAAAAAATTTAGTCTCATGATATATATATTTAAAAAAGATTTGGTTGCATGGGGGAATGTATGCGGTACTAATTTCTAACTTTGAATTCTACTCCGTGATTGTTATTGTTATTTTATATCAAGTCTTTGTCTTTCAAGTAACTTAATCCTTTATTAAGTGATGTATAGTTTCCAATAAAGATTGATTGGATTTTTCGTCAATGAAAAATTCTGCAGAAGCAAATGCTAGATGCACGCGAAAAAAATCTTTTAGAATTCGTTCATAGAAAGTGCTTACCTATTGCTGTATTGCTGTATTGTGATAAATAAATATTTACAATTTTTGGTTCTATGTCATGTGACCATGTTTTTAATGAATCTATCTCTATCGATATGTTTCTTTTTTTATTAAAATAGAAGCAAATACATATGAAGTTATACTTTATTTTTATCTAAAAATGTTTAAAATATTACTTAGATTATTCTTTTGGGCTGAAACTTTGATGCATTAAAATTCTTTGCGCCAAACTATCACGTTATTAGCATTATCGCTGCTACGCCAATCATCACATGATCATATGGCTAAGCTGTGTATGATTACTAATATTTCGCTATCGCTATCACTATATGCGTTAGATTCGGTATCTATCTTTATGCTATGAATCATTCCTTAGTTTGTGCTTGACTTTAAAGAAATAATAAAATAACGAAAGCATACAAATTTCTATAATCGGTAGACCTGATTTTCTCTTTTTTTCCAATAATATGTTTATTACATAATTTGACTATCAATATTTGTGTTTTCATTAGCGTAATTACAGAATTACACTAGGACCTTCTCCATGGAATGTGTATGTAAACACAATACAAAAGAAATACGCTATTCTCGAAAAAAAAAGCAATTAATTACTTTTTAATTACTTTTTAACTACTTTTGTCAATATCTTTACACAAAGTTCTTACAGATAAAGATCGATAAAGAAAAAGGTTGTGTTTGGTTTCACGAAAAAGTAACTGGCTTTTCAATGACACTTTTTATTCGGAAGGTACCGATAAATTATTGTTAACACTAATTTTCATTACATTATGACTTTATTTCCTTTTTTGATTAATAAACTTTTTGTTACACTAGTCCAAATATCTTCGTTTTTCTTTTACACTTTGAAATACATGTGGTTAAAGGCATCACAGAAATATAGACTATTTTGGCGGGAGAATCCTGATTGAAATGCATAATCAAATAATATTGATACGTACAATATTTTAAATTGTACAAATTAATAACGATAAAAAAATTTCATACCTGATACATGTTTAATATTTTTGCACGTTTTTTTTGGTTTGCTGTAAAGTTGTAAACAGTAAAAATAACTAATACATATTGTAAAAGTTATTTATTAGTTTCTACAGTATCCCCCCACATTTATACCCCCTAACAAAACAAAAACTTTGAAGAAATCTCGGCGACCACCTGACCAAAATTCGATGAAATATTTTTTTATTCGAATTGTCGAACTCATATAATCAATTTCATCGAATTTGATCAGGTGGTTGTCGACGCTCAAAGTTTTAAAAAATTCAAAACGCTTATCAATATTTGATTGACTAAAAGCAATGATCAAAAAATTGGGCCGGCAGCCACGCAGATCATTTTGTTTTTTGGTAAAGATCTGCAATTATGTAGTACAAAATTTGACCAAATTTTTGACTGCGTTGTTACACTTGATATTTAGTGCATAACTACCTTATAAAGCTTCGGGAATCCCTAAACTACATAGGTTTAGGATTCTTTTTGTAAAGGTTTTTTTAAAACTGATTATTTTTAGATAATAAAAAACACTTGTTTTTTAAATTAAAAATGGTTTTAGAATAATCTTCTAATATATTTGCAGATCATTTTCATATAGTATAAAATCCCTAACTATAAAAAAACAATAATACAGTCAACTCTAGATATAACAAACCTTTTTATAACAAACACACTATATAACGAACTTTTTTTTTCAAATTTAATATGTTTAGTATATAAAATATAGTAAATTACTATATAGCAAACTTTTAAAAATTTTTACTATAAGACTTGTCAGTTTGTTATAAACAGAATTGACTGTATATAAAAAAAATTTTAGACAATTTGAATATAAACTTGATTATATAATCAAATTTAAAAAAAAATAGAATTACCAGTTATAGGCAAACATTTATATGATTAGTTAATTTTTGTAGATCTATTTATGATTTTTTTAGTATTAAGGTAACCTCTTTGACCAGGAAACTTTTTATTAAATGTAACATATGTTTATATAATTATAATGAGAATATATCAAGCCACATATGCACTTTTGATACCTAATTTAAATAGTCTGCCTGAAGGTTTTACACTATTTGCCATACCTATACTTTGACTACAGAGGTACTCATTTAAACTCTTTAGTTACAACTACTATTTGTTACATCTAACCCTAGGTATTACTTACTATACAAACATGGTTTTTGTATTTATTTAATTAGATTTTACATCCATCTTAGGACTTACTAACCATTATAGTTAATCTATTCACAAGGTAAATCTAACAGAATGATCCATATCCTACACATATTTTCATCTGTATATTTGGTAACTTTTTTTTAACTAATACCTGCTGTGCTGCTATACTGTGTTTATATCTCACACCATCTTTTAGAATACTGCTATTCTATAGCTACTCAAGCTACAATCTTCCTAATTAGTTGCCCATTATGTACTCCTTACCTTTATAAAATTTACATAATCCTAGTATCTACATTCGAACTTTTTTTCTTTTTTAGATTTTTTACTAGTTTCTCTCTTACTTCCAGCCAGCAACCCAGAAGAGTTGGTCTTCTCAGGTATTAGATATCTTACGGTCTCGATACATACTTCCAGAGCATATATTCTTTTTTTCTAGTTAATGATCTGGTGATTTAGCTAGTATGTTTCCCAATTTAAAGACCTGGTCGCTTGGTTCTCTGGTTTTAGTCTTCAATTCCAAATTCAGTCTTCTTGTAGCACCATCAAAGATCATACTACCTCTCT